GTGTTTGGTTTTGTTCAACTGAGTTGTTCTGTAATTCTGTAACCTGAGTGAGTCCTCTGTGTACTACAACCTGACAGACAAAGCGAGCACTTATGTGGAGAATACATAGCAAGCTAATAGCTATGCTGGTGCATTCTCTTCAGTGAGCTAACAGTTATTTCATTTTTTGTGTAAACGCTGTTTTCTGTACATTCTTTGCCTGCCTGACTTCCCCACGTAGTTTGCTGCAAGGAAAGCGATAATGGTTTTGTTTTTTCCTATGTATTTCACCATATGTTTGTCATTTTAATTCCATCTACCATAAGTTCTCCTACTATATTTTAAAAATAGCCCTGTGTGCATATGTTGCCCATGTGTTAAGAGTTTCATATGCACTTGTTTTTACTGTAAACCTTTGACAGAAGTGGGAGTTGTTCAAGGTCAGTTTGGAATATAGGTATCATACACTACATTACTGACCTCAAAAATACCTTCTTGATGAGGGTAGTATTCATGAGAAGCCTTCACAGGAGGACCTTTGGCATGCTTACTGCCCTACTTTCAAATTAATCCCATGTCAGTATGACTGGTTCTGTGGATGCTTTTTATTCCATGAGAGTATATAATTAGTTTTGATAAAGCCATTCAGATAAAACCAAAGGTGCAGAGACAAGAGCTAGAGGTTTTTCTTTGCAGGAAGGTATTCTATTTCTGTAATGCATCTGTTTGTAGACAGTGACCCACATGACCTCTGGAGTCATAGTCTGCACTAATTTTATTGAAAATATAATTATATGGTTATCTAGCATATAGCATTTAATCTATATGCTATATGATAGCACATACAGTATGTTTGATTTGCTGGAAACTAATTGATCCACTGTATGGTTCACATACAGTTACTTATGCATTATTGCAGCGTCGTTTTTTCTTGTGAGGGAAGAGTAAGATCATTTTTAGTCAACACCTTTGTGTAATTATATGTAACATAGTAACAGTGTTCCCGTGTTAGTTCAGAAAACCGAAACCAAATACAGCAAGAGAGATGTAGCAAATGTGGCAGAGACAGATGTTATACAAATTTTAAAGCTATTCTCTTAAATTCTTTCAGTGAGATAAGAACCTTTATGCTCTTGTAACAAATTTCCACGTGGGCCTTATTGTAACAAGAGTTTTGCTTTTCTGATGCAAGTAAATCAATGTTCTAACAGGTTGAGCTCCTTCCCTCCCAACTTCATTTCATTTTTCTTTCCTAAACTCTGGTCTTCTGAGCTGACAACCAATCCATTAACCCAATGAACTAGACAGGATGTCTGCTTGTTTTTAAACTTTGAAAAATCGTTTATTTTCAGAAGCCCAACGTTAGTGAAAAACATACCCACCAGCTTAGGCTATGGAGCAGCTCTTAATGCAAGCTTGCAGGTAAAAAACACAAAATAATTCTTCTTTGTACACACTCATTATCTTCTTATGTGTGATGTATTTTATTTCTACTTACACATTGGTATAGAATTACCTGGTATGTTTATGTGGAGCTGATGGCCATTCTAAATAACTGCGTTTATCATCCAAGTAAGTTGTATTACCTAGCACTGCAAGTAGTAGTTCTTATTCGTGCTACTTTTGATGTGAAGAGGCAAGAAGGACACCCTGTGGCAAAATCTGGAACATTCAGTTTTGCTGCAAATGTTAGATTGATAGAAGCTTTTGCAAATGCATGTGGATATGCATTAATATTTATCCAAGCTGTCATAAATGATTTCACATCATAGTGTTGGGGAACATGGTGCTCATGGCAAAAACTTTAAAGTTTAATTATAATATATAATTTTTATGCAGAAGAGGCAAATGTCAGGACTTTTTTATTTTGATTTAAGTTCTGGTCATTTTTTAAAGTACAGCAGCTGCCTGCATTATAAAGGAGCCATACATTGTGTGGAAGGGCAAAGGGGTTAAGTGTAATTCAAAGTCAAAAAATGATGTAAAACTAGAAAGTGCCATGAATATCAGAACATAATTAATAATGGAAAATAATGAAACTTAAGCAAGAGAAAGGGTAAACCAGAAGTAGAAGTGCTGTTATATACGTAATGTGAAAATAATTGGAAATGCACAAAATCCTTCTGACCACTTCAACAACTACTCAAAATGAGCTGTTCTCTGTGTGTATATTCCTTAATGTTCATACATATAAGAGTGCTGTGTATATCTATGGGCTAATAATTTTGGTTTTATTTTTCATTTTGGTAGGCTGCACTGGCAGAGAGCAGTTTACCATTGCTAAGTAACCCAGGACTGATAAATAACGCATCCAGTGGCTTACTGCAGGCAGTCCATGAAGATCTCAATGGTTCGCTGGATCACATTGACAGTAATGGAAATAGCAGTCCAGGCTGCTCTCCTCAGCCTCACATGTAAGTGCAGTCAGCTTTCTTTCAAGAAAAAATGCCTCAGTCTAAGACACAATATTACTCAAAAGAGCTTTGAAAGGTGGTAAGTGAAACATCTGGAGCTATATATTTAAAACTAAACATTTATGTTAAAACATTTAAATAGATGAGTCTTCATTTACTTTGTAGTTATTGCTATAAGCTTTTTTTTTTTGCTTTTCTTTTTTTTTTAAAAGCCTCACCAATTTGCTTCCAAGCTCTGAATGTAATGGGAGGCTGATCTCTGTGGTCATTTTCAGAGCCTGGTTTGTAAGGTATAGTCAGAATGTTCACACTGGAATTAGTTATAATTTTAACTATGACTCTCCGAACCATTTATGAACTGTAGTAGAGATATTGCCCGTTTATATAAACCATAAAATGCAAAGTTTAACTGTTGCCCACAGTTTACATAGAAGCCAGTAAAGTGTAACTTTTTGCCTGTCATATAAATCAGTGTAATTATGTATTCAAGTTTAATTACTGGTGCGTCTGTATTGGCAAGGTTTATATGTTATATTTTATGCAAGACTACGATTCCTATTAATATTTAGCAGCTAACTATATCATTAATTACTCTAAATTCTTTCCCCTACCATCTTTTTAATGGAGCTGAGAGAGTGGAAGTATTAAAAATTGATGTATTGTGGATTTCAGAAATGTGTCTGAAGCTTTAGAAATGCCTGGCCTTAATCAGTGGTGTCAAACATGGCAGTTTCTTGTTTACTAAATAGTAAAACATGTATCTTGGAGGTATTGTTTCCCAGGTTATTTATATAATAATTAGCAGTGTGATATGTAAGTAGACTTCATTTTAAATGTACTGTAAGATGATTTTTAAGTGTATCTAAAATTATGGTGTCTTTTTTTTTATGTTTTAAAAAGCCGATCTCATTTGCCTTTTTTAATTCCGTTTTTTCTTTCACATTTTAAATGTTCATTTTAATTGCTAGAGTGGGATATTTAACAGTAAGAGTAATTGAGACCAGACTCCCATTTTAACTTATGCTCTGATGTCTTAAGAATCCATTTTGATCTGAGCTTTTTTTAAGAAAAATATTTTACTGATTTTTTTTTCTTCTTTTGTTTGGCATGTTAATATATCTGTGATCACATAGAAATGTTTATTGTCATGCATTTAATTGTTTTATTGCACATTTATTCTACTTCCCTTTGAAAATAATACACTGTGAAAATTCATGTATTTTATCAGGTTCCAAACCATTACTTTTTCAAAATGGAAAAATTTGTCTTTTGGAAGTGTCTTTAGATGTATTAAATAATACAAAAGAAGTAATAAAACTTGAAGTAGAAAGAACATGAATATATGCTCTTGAGAGTAACACTACTCTAAAACAAGTAAAGTGAGCAATCAGACAAAAGTTTTTATATCCCATGCTTTATGCTATCAACCATGCAGTGGGTAGCTTGAGGCCTTTTACTTTTAGCAGTTCTCCTGAGTATGCTAATGCTCTCTTCCTGTATAAAATGCCAAGACAATAAAACTTTAAAGAGCAAACAAGAGTTAGATCATGTGTGTTAAAAACAGCTACTTTACAGAAAAGAATGACACTTGCTATTAAAGTTGTTTTGTAAGTGTTAGGCAGATCTGTTTACATATCCTATGTTCTGTCTGCCATTCTGCTGGATAAACTGTGATATCTGTGCATATGATTATGTAGATATGGTTTCATTTATAGCTGTGTTTATAGCTAAAATAGTGCATATTGAAGCAATTCTTGCCTATAACAAAGGCAAATACCTTAAGTTACACCCTAACTCAAGATTCAGCCTTCCTCTCTCATTTTTATGATGTCATTTGGAAATTAGGCATTTTTGGGACTTGCTACGTTGATTCCTTTGAAATTTGTGAGGACATGTTGCTCAGTTCTTGACAGATTGAAGCAACAGTATGTAAATACCTGAGACACCACTGGAGAAAGCATCTATGCACATTCATCCTTTGCAGCAAACTTAGTGCAAGAATTCTGGGCTTCTGTGAGACCAAGAGCCATTAGACAAAAGATGCAAGCCAGATGCCTGCTTGCTTGTGACATTTTCTCCTTTTCTTTGCAGGGAAAAAGGGAACAAAAGCAATCTGCAAGGAAAGGCCAGGGTAGGGAGAGGCTTGCATGAGAGGCAGAGAACCAAGGAAGAGGAGAACTCTTCCTTGCCTCCATGATCACATTGGTCAGGGACCCTCATTTTTGTTAAAGAGCATTACATAAGAAAATGAGAAAATAGAATAGGTAAAGCAAAACAGAAGTAAAACAAGTGAGGAATATGGCAAACAACGAAGACACAATTTAAATTTTGCATTGCCCACACAGATAACATAATCTCTTTTTTCTTTTTTTTTTTTTTAACTGAAAAATAATTAATAAACTAGTGAAAAAAAAAAAAAAGTATTTTACTAGCATAAGCACCTTCTTACTTTCAGTCTCCTGAGAAGATTCACCCAGGAAGTGAACCTTCTCAGGAGAAAGTGGGTTTTTGTCACCTGGAGAAGGGTTCTTGAGGTCTGATAATTACTACACTCACCTATAAATTTGGAGGCTCTATTAATCTCCAAGTAGATTAAACCTCCATCTCCTGATTTCCAGGAAAATGCAGAAGCCACAACAGGAGGTATATGCTGAGCAATGTTGCCTGCCATCTAGTAGGTGCACACATGCAGGAACAATGGAGCAAGGTATTAGGGAAAGAGGCAAGAGGCTGTGCACAGTTTAGAGATCAGGGCATTTAGAGATCAAGGCATTCAATTGGGAAGGTGCAGAGCTTGGATTCTAGACAAGATTCCAGAGAGAGGCATTTGTTTGGTATTTCAGCAGCAAATGCAAAAAGAGCCTCAGTGAAAAAGTCAAGCATCTTAGCTGGGCATTTGGTTGTTAAAATTGTACTTACTGCTATTTTATCATATATGATAAAACCAAATGATAGCAAAACTATCTGATTTTGGGATGATCATATTAATGTTGTTAGCATATTTTGTGTGTATGTGCAGAAATCAATATATCTTTGGTTGAGGACTGGAACATTATCAGAGACATTGATTTCTGTTATTGTAGTGCCTGAGCTACTGAGTGTCAGAAAGTGGGGAAATTGTTTCAGTTCTTGGATATGAACCTAGCACTTCACATCTGGTTTTGAAGAGACACAGTAGTAAGAAGAGTTAGAGTCATTAATTTACCCATCTCTGACCAGGTATCTTAACACAGGCAGGCAAATCAGCTTACTTAGAAAATAGTCTCTGTTCATTGACAAGAGAAGGACAGGAGGTCTAAAACTTCAAGTAACTGTATCACACTTCAATGCTTGTTAAGCGCAGTGAGTCCCAGCCGGTGTATTTAGGGCACTTTAAGACCTCCAAAATTTTGGCCTCAGGTAATGAAACATAATCTGCTCCAATTTTTATGCTTTTTGAATACTTAAAAATACCGCAGTAAGTTGTAGGTGATCAGTATAACTATGGCCTGGTAGCTGGGGTAACTCTTAATTATTACATAAAGCATCTGAAATTTTATTCTGTGTGCCTCCCAGTTTCCTTTCTCTATCTGATGAAAGACAGCAATTCCATAGTCCAGGATGCAGCATATGAGTAGTGGAATCTTAAGTCCTAGGTTTGCTTTCTGTATTTCAGCAGTATTAAATCCAAATTATGTCTTTGACTGGCCTTCAAATCTGATTCCTAGTGTGTAGGTGCTGAGTGCTTCCTTGACATAAATCTTCAGAGAGAAAATGTGTTACTTATTGTGAGCATATATGTTCTTTCAAAATTTAAATTCCTTCTAAGATCAGTTGTCAACAATCAATATCAGGCAATTGTATTTTAAGTCAATGCTTAAGACTGTTTCTTCTTTCATTATTTCAACATGGACTACTTCTCTGAATTTATTGTGAGTTAGAGCTGATAAGCAACAGGTTTCAAAGCAACAAACAGAACTGAAGATATTTTATGCACAAAGATTCATTATTTATGTAAAACTAGGTGCTGCTAATCTTGCATAACAATTGTATATGGATGTAACCGTAAGTTCCACAGTACACACCTTTTGAGTAAAAATGCAACATTCCGAACTAAAGAAATCAAATCCAAACAAGTGCAGTTAAAGCTCAGTTGTGGGAAACATCAAAAAAAGTTTTAGCATTCCTGTAGAAACAACAGCATTGGATGAGACATGAGGTGATGTTTAGGAACAATAATGACAGTTCATGCATTACTGAAAACACAACTTCTTTGTAACCTGTATGTAATAGACAGCATACTGCTGAAGAGCTTTGGTGGGATTTGAAGGTCAGTTCTTTCAGAAATAATAAATTTATATTTTTAAATGAACATCAGAATCGTAGTGTAATCAACTTTGTGCTATTACTTTTCCTGTCTCTATTATACATTCAAGAGTTCTCGCTCTTGGGGATGGCAAATAAGGGATGGAAATCAAGTTCAACTATTTTTCTGGTGTTTGTCTCAGCATTTGTACTAGACTGATTACACTTCAGTGATTATTGCAGCTGGCACAGAACCGAGTGTTTTGTCACCAGAATATTTAGCACATCACTTGCCCCCGTGGTCATGGCAAATGCGTCATGCAAAGTGCCACTTTCCTTCATTGTATGATCCTAGGGGCGGGGCGGGGAGGGGAAGGTACAATTTTAATCTGCAAAACTCTTAATAGCAGTTGAGGAAACTGAAAGAAAATGGTCATGAGAAAACCAGGAAAATGGCAGACTGAGAAAATGTAGTCTTACTATAGGAAACAATGGGGCAATTATACCGTTCTGATAAAATCCACTGCAGCTCATTAAAAAAGGAAGAATGGAAGGAGTTAGAAAATGTGATAAGGTAAGCAGATATCCCTCTGGTGAGATTTTGAGGAAGGGGCTTGTCATCATGGTTGTCTCCCTGCTCACACTGTGAGAGTATAGACTGACAGTGCAACTAAACTAATTCTCAACTGACTTAACCGAAATAATCTAGTTCCTAA